TTCCAGTCTTAAGATTTGATTGCTTTTATTTTTTTCTAGACAACTTTTTTGTTGTTGTTGTTTGTTTGTTTGTTTGTTTCCTGCTCCGGTGACATGACAGAACACACACACACACACACACACACACACACACACACACACACGGTCCCCATATCTGTAGATACGAACCATGAAGCAATCAGTAGCCATCTCTCATTTGCGCTTGTAGTGTTTTAGTGAACTGCATGCAGGAAGTGACTACTGTCCGCTCATATGGCATACGATCATTTTAAAACCAAAAGAATAAAGGACATATTTTTTGTAAAGGCTTGTAGATTTCCTTTTTTTTTCCGTTTTACTTTCATCTTTTCTTACATCCACGGTTCTAATTGACTGAGGATCATTCATGTGATTCAAGTTCATGTTACATTCATGTATTCACTTGGAACATGTGACAAGGGACTATTTGTTTCTTTTCTTTTTTTGTTTTCTTTCTGTTCTAACCAAAGATGTGGCAACAAAACATAATCTAGTTTTCCAAAATAAACCTATTTTGGGAAACCCTTTATATTTTTGTTGCATGAAAGAGGCTTTCATTTGGGCTTCAAATGAGGTTTCAGTAATATGTTTCGCTAATAAGGCTGTTGTCAGCCGAGGGGGATGATGTGGAAATACACTACTGGGACTCCGGAACTGGGTCAGGACCCCCCCCCCCCCAACACGCACACACACACACACACACACACACACTCACATGAGGGAAAAACTGGCTGGTGGAGTTGTTTTATCCAATGGGAGATGCTACAAATAGTATTTCACACAATTACTTTAAAAAAAAAACCCTGCTTTGAGTGGGAGCCCCAGTCTGATGCAGGATGACCAGCTAAAATACCTTAATATCTCCTCCTGCGCAACCGTTAAGGGCCTTAGAGATTAGCTTTAATTGGAAGTTTTAAATGCTTTAAAATAAATCTCTGTGCAGAGAGAATATGAGAGGGTTTGGTAAATAAAGAAAAAAGCCTTCCCAAATTCCTGCCCGTTTGCCAACTAGAGGCCTCCAGTTGGTCTGGGAACCAGCAGTTTATGTTTCTGTGTCAGCGTTTGTCACCGATTGCAGGACCCAGGCAGGTGTGGGGGGGGGAGAAGGAGAGGAGGGAGACGGAGGTGAAAAGCTGAGACAACCCCCACCCTTCAACCCCCGCCCCCCCCCCCCTCCGAAGGCTTTGCTGCTCAAGCTTCTCCCATCCTGT